TTTAAACATCAGGGAATGTTCTGAACACAACTGTGATAAGAAACCAGCTAGAATGGGTGTGTTAGCATACAACAAAAAAATTGATTTAACCCCTTAACAACGGCAATATGTCTGTTCAACCATAATTTATTTCTCTTAAATATTAAGTGTACCCACACTTATTATATATCATTTTGTTCAGGAGAAATGGGATTTTCATTTCACATCTATTACTTATATATGGAACATAATTTAATATGCATAAACCTTAAAATGTGTGATAAATTAAGAAATTAGATTTTTCAAGTTTTGTGTAGCATTTTAACTGTGAATGTCATAACACTGTTAGATTTTACTGCAATAAAATACACATATATGTATTTTGTGATGTCCCACAAGTACAATGATGTCCCCCATGTTCAGGCTTTATGGGGTTTTAGAAAGTTACAGGGTCAAATATGGAGCTTGCCCTTTTCAGTTTTTACACATTGAAATTAGTTTGCTGGGTCTATGTTGTTTGCCTTGGAGACCGTATGGTAGCCCAGAAATGACAATTTTCCTCATTATGGTATGCCATTTACAAATGTAGACAACCCAGGGTATTTAAAATGGGGTATGTCCAGTCTTTTTAGTAGCCATTTAGTCACAAACGCTGGACAAAGTTAGCGTTCATATTTGTTTTTTGCATTTTTCATACAAAAACTGGTGTTTCACTGATTATATCATCGTCCCCTTATGTTTTACTGCTCTAAAATACTCATATATTTGTGCGTAGAGATGTCTCACCAGTTCAACAGTACCTCCTCCCATGTGCAGGTTTTATGGGGTTTTGGCAAGTTACACAGTCAAATAAAGGGCTTGCAAACAAAATTATTTGGTATTTCTGCCTGGGTTGTTAGGCAGATTCTGTATTATATAAATAATAAAATAACATAATTATATATAAATAACATAAATTAACTTAGAATGAATTATAAATACTATGCCACCCTAACAGCAATAAAGTCCTTCTTTTGTAGGACGGCATAGCACACCATAATGTTCTGAAGGGACTACAAGGATGTATGCTGCAAAAGATAAAAACATTACTAAAAGTGGGATTTGAAAAATAAGAGATATAGAAAAAGGGACAGCGCTGACACCTGCTAGAGATATTATAATTTGGGAGGCAGCTAACCCCAAAAAGGGGGCATTCCTCCTCCCCGCCTATGGAGACAGTAAACAAAGTAAAAACAACAAAAGGGGTAGCGCCACAGAGTAATAATCCTTAAGGTACAGTGGAAAACAGCTTAAATAAGAAAAATATGGTAATAAAAACAGAAATGTCCAGATTATAAAGTCCAGAGGTAGAGAAAGTCCAAAATTAGTATACCAATATGGGTGTAAATATACAATAGCCAGAGGTGGTATCTGGAGGCATGGGAAGGATTATTCTATGGGGATGTCAGAGATGATCAGAGGTGGATCCGTATATGGGAAAAGAAAGGAGATGATGGTACAGTACATACTGGCAGGGAGAGTATAAAATATAACATAGATATAGTCCTACTCACATTTTAAGGAGCTAGAACTAGCTCCAGTATAGATGGCGTGCAGTGGTACAATCCACCCACACCCTATCCATAGAGCAGTTTGCCTGCTCTGGAACAAGAGAATAAAATATTCGCTATTTATATTCCTGGTATTTAAACTGTGAGCACTATTTGTCATTTCTTTTTATATTTTATGGTCCTCACCCAACTGAGAAGTTTTTTTCACGTATCCTTTAAAGTGGGAATTGTACCACTGCATGCTATCTTTACTGGAGCTAGTTCTAGCTCCTTAAAACATGAGTAGGGCTCTATCTATTTTATATTTTATTCTCTCCCTGCCAGTATACTGTACCATCATCTCCTTTCTTTTCCTATATACGGATCCACCGCTGATCATCTCTGACATCCCCATAGAAGAATCCTTCCCATACCTCTGGATAACACCTCTGGCTATTGATTATTTAAACCCATATTGGTGTACTAATTTTGGACTTTCTCTACCTCTGGACTTTATAATCTGGACATTTCTGTAATTATTATCATATTTTTCTTATTTAAGCTGTTTTCCACTGTACCTTAAGGATTATTACGCTGTGACGCTACCTTTTTTGTTGTTTTTAATAGTGGGATTTGCATAGCTAATTAGCTAATAATATACCCATTAAAATTGCCTTATTTGAAAATAGTATTTTGGGGTATGACTGATAGATCACATTGTTTGTGTTGGTTACAATGGATGTTATCTTTGGTTTACATGCAACTATATTTTCATCTTATCTTATCTTAATTGTGTGAATTGTGTTGACTTAAAAACAAAACTCACAAAACTCATAATGACCTTGACATTTTTTTTTTATTTCTTCCAACTCAGTTCATTTTAGTCATCTGCCATCTTAGATTGTCTTGCGAAATTTGCAATATTTGGGAGGTATGGTAGTTTCACCAAGAAGTTGTTTATTTATGTAGTGATTATGGTTTTAATCGCTGTAGGCATATTCCAATTGAGTGTGCTCCTCCATTTTTAGCTACTTGTATCACTCCTACTTTGTTTGACAATATGGTATTCATGCTAATTGTTTGGACCTTGTGTGGATATCACAATATACAATTATAATCTCTAAGCCATTCTATATTTAAAAACAAAAGATTAACTTTTATATTCAAATTTCAGATTGTGTAAATGTTTGTAGTTATAATTTTTAGGTATAAATGAATTACAATCTGCTTACCCTAACTTTATGCTACACATGTAATATTTCAGGTAACACTCCCTGCTCTGTATATCACTAAACCTTTAATCACCTTTCATATTATTGTTGATATTATCAGCCCTCGTTAATCTGTAACTGAGTGTATAATTTACTCACTTGTTTGTGCTACCGATGGGTGTAGGGTTTTCACTTTCCCATTTGTCATTTACAATGTTCCACATTTTAAAATTAGGAGAGTTATTCTGGGCAGCAAATAGTTACGGACATAGAGGTGACTGATTATATTTTCCTACAAAGGTGTTCCATTCCTACCAGAAACCATTTTCGATCTTTATATCAGTAATTGAAAAACAGAATGCAACTATTTATTGTGTGAAATTATTAAATAAAATAAATAAGTTATCTCTGTGATATCCTTGAATATATTTTCCTGCTTTCGTCATTATAAAATTAATTCAGTGGAACATGAATAATTATATTGCACCAGATCATTGCACATAGACCAGTTTCGCTCTTTTGTGTCAGAGACACACCTTTAAATGGCTTAGAAAAGCATTGTGTTCTAATTATTTTACTGATACAGTGGGTGGCTTGTGGTGCAATATGGTCAATGATGCAATTCTAACCTGACTGAATAGTCAACGTTATATTTTATCTACAATCAGCTAAATGAAATTAAAGATCAACTTAGATCTCTTCCATGGACATTGCACAAAATGTTAATGTTGGGAAGTCAAAGTGAATTATGAAAGCACATTTCAAATCTCCAGTCAAAATAACCAATACAGCTGACTTGGGGTACTTTTATTGGTCTAAAATTCACTTTCAATTTGATTCAAATTCCTGACAATTCACATTTTTGTGAATAACCTGTTTATAGTAGATACAGTGCTCAGCTCTCATTCGGGAATATTTGATATGCAAAGTTACTGGGAGTGTAAAAGCTACCTTAGGTATCTATTTATTAATCTGTTGACCTGGCAACACAGTGGAATTACCCTGTAGGTCGTTACCTAATCATTTAATTATGTAACTGTAGAACTAAACGTTAATAAAAAATAAAAAAATGTACATACCTATTTTTATTTATTTATACTGATCATAAATGCTGTGTAAATAATCTGAAACGTGTTTTGACAATTGGTGTACAGTCAGTTTAAACTTTAAAAAGATAGGATAGTATGGGCAAAGTATAAGATAAAGCAAAAATGTTGCAGTAGGGATGATAACAAAAGAGAGCTTTGCTCTGTGGTACAATGTTTGCCATACTAGTTGACTGTAATCTGGAGCCTAGCAGAAGAATGGAGGCAGGTCACTTCTGCTTCAGGATTCCGTCAACCCCCAAAAAGAAAACCCCCAGAAAAGGTGCAGGGTGTGTTACAAGAGGGGCGTAAGAGCTGAGACCAGTTATTACTGCCTTGATTACCCCTTTCAGCCCGGCCTATGTATTGGCCACTGTTTTAAAATTTTCCACACCCAGGCTGAATAAGTAGACCAGTTTTGGGGTGTGATTTTAGTCATCTGTCTGATTGGTTACCGAATCTTTGCTTTGTCTCCTGTTTATCCTGTCTTCTCATATCCTTGACCTCGGCTTGTCCTATCGTTGTTCCATTTCTCTTTACTCCTTTGACCTCGGCTTGTACCTTGACTATTCTCTGGTTGTATAGCCAGGCCACTCTAAGGACTGGTATTACAAGTTTCTCTCTCTGTGTTCTCTCTCTTTGTGGTCTGTCTGTGTTTTGTTTTCCGAATCCATGACACAATTGACTGGATACTAGCCCCTGATAAGTTTATGCCAACTATTCCTCCTTTCACAGCAAATAGTATAGCAAGAGAACTTGCTGTGAATTGGAGGGGTCTTTATACAGGCTCTACCTTTTACATGCTCATAATAGGTTACTTTACTCCCTTTTTCTTTTCTCTGATACATATGGCAGCCTCCATGCTCACGATGCTGAAAATTAAATTCTATTAATTATTGGGCCACTTTGACCTCACTACTTTACCATGTTGTTATGGCATGCAATTTTTATAGCCTTAATTACCGTAATGAAACAAAAATATATATGTCGCTGAATGGAGAAGTATATAATGGGATAGGAAGTTATGTGATATACCCAGATAAGAACAATACAACCTGTGTGTCAAAAAATGATGGTATGGGTAAAGATCTGAGCAACAAGTGGACAGCGAGATTGGTAAACAAACATCGAGATAATCAGCAGATAAGAAGTTAGTCGTTCAGTTTCTAGAACCGCCATAACCGTACTCAGGCTCAGATTCACACTCTCTGTGATCAGCAGTCTAGTGAGAATATCTCCAGTCTAGGTGGAGATATTCTCACTAGACTGCTGATCACAGAGAGTGTGAAACTGAACCTGAGTGAATGAAAAAATAGCATCTAATCACCCAAGTGAAAAGACGCAGCCTGGAGGTACTAACAGTTCAGTAATAACAATAATAGTCTCTGTGATGAAATAACTATTGTAGCAATCAAGACATCAAAAAGTAACAATTATTAATACCTCAGCCTTATAAGGCTTCTCCTGAACCTATTACATGATATGTATTCAATCAAAGCAAAGAAACAAAAAAATAAAATATAAAAATATTTATATAAAAAGTCTACTGGATAAATAAATGTTTCACCCTAGGCAAAAGAGGCTTTAATCTCCAGGCCAATATGCTCTTAGTAATCAATCCCACAGTAATCCAGTAGATGACAATTTTCTCTTCAAGATATCTATATTAAACCTGACTGTAACAATATTATACAGGGCGTGTTAAATAAGGGATAACGTTCCCACCATATCCCTCTTCAGCTCATAAAAATGCATGGAATGTAAATTCAATTTAAAAAGTAGCTGTAAGACTAGATGCTATTTTTTCATTCTCAATATAGAAGAAAACAATAAACATGTTTTTAAATTTTTGGTAACACACGGTTAACTTATTTCTAAATTGTTAATGTCTGCAAAATGAGAACATATTTTTATAATGGTGTCGCAAGAACTCTCATTAATAGATGATATGATTCAGTTTTCAACTTTGTATCATGAGTGTTTTTTTCTTTCTTTCTCAATGAGCCCTAACCCTCCCACAGGTCTTATCTTCACCTATATAAAGGAGATTAGGCATGTCCTGAATTTATTCCAGGCGTGTCAGATTATTCTTTACACACTCCAGTAGGAGAAAAAGTACAGAATGAATTCTTTTCTGGGATATGTCTGTGTGCTCTCAGCTATAGTAGGAACAGGTAATTATACATATATATATATTTATATTGGAATACATTGTAAAAATAATAAATCAACTGAACTATTAATGTGATTATTTTATTGTTACGAGTCTGTAGACTTAGGTAAAGCTAAATCACATCTATAGGATAGAAAATACAATGATAAATAATATATTAGTATGTGATTTCTTTAACACTTTTGATGCCAGAAAGGTGTGGAACTCAACAGGTTAATCTTTGGGAGGTGTTTGCTAAGCAGCAAATTGTGAATTTGCAACATCATTGCAAAACATTGACCAGAATTGTAGAGTTTTAGAACAAAGACTTTGGGGGAATTCGGTGTTTAGTAAATATCCAGTGTCAGTCAAATATCTTTAAACGGCCCAAAAATTTGATTTGAGCTATTTGTATACTTTTGTATTCATTAATCGGTTTATGAATGTATTTAATGAAATTTAAGTATTTAATGAAAATCAATCTGCAATGAATCAAAAATGTATTTGATATTGTCACTGCCAAAAAAATAAAAAAAATAAAATTTGACCTTAACATATTCATGTGCTAATGGATTCCTCTCCATGTTTTTAATACACATATTAAATGTTTTAAACATTGTGAAAGAGAAATATAAACTTGTAGAATCCCCCAAAATACATGTTATTTTCTTAATGTTATTAATGTATTTTTTTTTTATTAAAAATGCTAATTCCCTTACACCCATTGAACTATATTTCAAACAGATACAAAATAGAAACCGGCGATCATATTGTCTAATATTTTGCTAAAAAAAAAAGATAAGTTCTTCTATAACAGAGTTATTCACTAAAGTGAGAATTGAGGGGAATTCAATGTGAATTTCAAATTTAAGGTCTATATAGCCAACTCTAAACAGAATCAATTTGGAGACTGTATCTAATTTGGTTATTTTATCTTAAATTTTGAAATTCACTTTCAATTCACTTTGTATTCCCTACAATTCTCGGGTTAGTGAACAACTATGTTAGAGTTTGAGCCCTGAAAAGTGAATTGTGTTGACTTTAGAACTAGCTTGTTGTAACAGGACTTCACCAGCACCAAAGCCCTGTGGACTAAAACAGTGAAAATGGCGAAATTATTGCAAGGGAATACCATTACTGGAGAATACAGCCGTTCGCCTGGTTCAGACGAATCCCTTTGTCTGAAAATAGGTGGCCGCCATTTCGGGACTTTACACGTGTTCGCGGCCATCTTACGCACGAACGGCGGTGTTTGCCTGTGAACTCATGGAACTAAAAACGGATGCGCAAACAGGCGAACGCCGCTGAGACCTCCAGGAGCTCGTAAGTTCGTGCTGAAACTACCGAACGACCGGCCGTTCGGTAGTTTTGTTTAAGCATGCATGGGGATTCAGGCGAACGGCAGGATTACTGTGGAGGGCAAGGGGTTCGTGGGGTTTTTATTCACGAACGGGGACCGACCGCAAGGCCAAAACTTGTGGAACTCTTTTCGGCTGAAAATCCTGTGCGGTCGGTCAAAACTTCAAAGACCCATAACTCCCGAACCCCACAACCGAATGACGTGAAATTTGAATATGTTATTCCCCTGAGTGGTAGCTATTAAGCGGTGCTGGACTTAAAGGTGTACCCCCTGTTTTTGGGGTACATCCAGAATGTGGGTAAATTTATGTACGTTATAATTATGTTATATGTTTATCTGAGGGGAGGAGACGTGGGGGTGTTACCCTGTGTGTAATTGGTTATTTTCATCCTCCCCCTGGGAGTGTCCTGTGTGTACTTGTTCCTAATAAAAAGCAGGCTGGTTCTCCCAGACCTCAGATCTTCTTGACCCTGCAAAACGTAGCCTTGTCTCGTTCTTGGAAGGGGATTATTTGGGAATGTTATTCTGCTCCTGCTACAGCTGAACCTGACTTTTACTCTGGATATCGTGAATGGGATTATACCAGCTTACTTCTCCACAGCAACTTGCAGGGGAAAAGGACGTCTCCAACGGCCGATACCCTCTCTCTACCAGGGTAGCCGTTACACTTGTATAATTAGATTTACATGAAATTTAATTCAAAAGTCAGTCTGGATACAGTTTCTAGTTCGACCTTGTTGGGAACATTTTACAGCTTTGTTATATCGTATTGTGATTTGCAGGTTGATTATCAAATTACTGTGTAGTTAATAGAGCAATTAAACTTTTCATCACAACAAGGTGATCCAACCATAATGATGCACAGGCTTGTAGAAACCTCTTTAGTGGAGTTTTCTTTCTAAAAATGGCACTATAATTTTAATTAGTGGGGTAAGAGCTACTTGATACATTCGTAGATCAAGAAGAATTCTTCCCTAGTTTGTTGCAAAATTAGAAGCAATTTTTAAAAACATTTTTTTTCAAGATATGGCTGGAAAGTGTGAGTGCTTCAATTATATAATCTGAAAATTTCTAAATCAATGCGTATATTAAGTACTAGATTTTAAGCAAAACCTCTTAAAGAAGTAGTCATTTAAAATATTACCCGATTAACTAATTATTTTACTATCTCTATTTTTTAGCATTTTTATTTATAAGTTGATTTTGATTCCATAGTCACAGAGGGTAATAAAGATAAGGAAATACATATACAGTCTCTTAATCGTTTTTCAAAGTATTCTGTTTGCAATAAATAATAACGTTTGCCAATGTAACCAATGGGTTGCAACCTTCTTTAAAGAATGTGGCGCTTCACACATTAATGTTCTCCTCTGCTCCCACAACCCCATCCCAGTGTTGTAAAGGGTTAAAAAAAACCTCATGCAGAGTGTGATTACTTCCAGCATCGTTTCACAGAATCAAACTCCATGAAGTGCCTCTAGTTGCTTTCTGGTAGACAACCACTAGAGGCAGTCTTAGCACTGCATGAAACATTATAGTTACTCAAAAACTGCAATGTTTTACAATAAAGGACTAAGGGTAGAAGGGGCACTGAACAGACCACTTCAATGAGATGAAGTGGTATTGGTGCCTATAGTGTCCCTTTAACACATCATTAGTTGCGGTGAGAGTTTTATTTACCAAGCTTCTAACTTTATTAATTATTAACTTTTCAGGTCATTCTCTCTCCTGTGTGGAATGTGTGAGTTCCTCCGGTACAACATGCTTAGGAACCACCACAACCTGCAGCAATGGAAGTGTCTGTGGATCTCAGTACACAGTGGGTAAAGTAGGTATGTTGTGATGGCTTCAAGCAAGCATGTGACGTAAAAAAAATATTTAGTTTAAAGTAAAACTATTGCCTGGAAAGCAAGAACTGTTTTACTTATTTTGGTGTAGAAGAAAACATAGTTAGACATGTATTTTTAAGCTAGGATTAACAAACAAAAATGAACAACAAATTTCTGTATAGTATGCTAACACAACAATTGTTGTGTACATTTTCAACAGTTCATTTTTATTTATTTTTTTACCTTTTTTTGTTATTGAGAGTAGACAAGATAAAATAAATGAAAATTTTCATGTTGCTTAAGGGTAGAATCTCAGTGCCATTAATATATAGAAAGAATATTTGTATGTTAGTACAGTGTCTCAGTATGATTGCTTGCTTACTAAAATCAGGTATCTGAACAACACAGAACATGGATGTGTAATATTGTAAATTAATGTGTTTGTTTGGAAAGGGGTTATATTTATATATACACATGTATTTTGGATCTGTGCTGCCCTAGACATAACAGAAGTCAAGCACCCCCTAATTTAAATTTGCCCCACCCTTCTTCTCAAGGCCACACCTCTCCCTGACACATTGACTGACAGACACACTGAGAGGCATACACAATCACTCAGACACACACATACACACATTCACTGACAGACAGACACACACTCACTCACTGACACACACACAATCACTCAGACACACACCTACTCACAGACACACACTCATAGACACACAGGCTCCCTCACAGACACACTGGCAGACATATACTCACTCATAAACACTCACTCACAGACATACATACATTCACTGACAGACAGACACATTAACAGATATACAAACAGACACACTAACAGACACACACTCATTGTGTTGGGCTGTTGGCCGGGCTGTTAGCTGAGTACCAGGCGGGCGGTGAGGGAGGCTTCTTAGCCTTATGGCAAATACAGGAATATATATATATATATATATATATATATATATATTTTTTTTATTTTTTATTTTTTTTAAGCATGTTATGTTGTATTGTCTTTCAAATTAATCAGCAATTTTTAAATCATTACTATAAAATGTTTATGTTTTTATTTGCTGGGATTTCCCAAGATACATCTGATGGTCTATCCCTAATTATAATGTTCTAGCTTCTATATTATTTAAAATGTTAAAGGGACACTATAGTCACCAGAAAAACTACAGCTTAATGTAGTTGTTCTGGTGAGTATAATGAATCCCTTCAGGCATTTTCATGTAAACACTGCCTTTTCAGAGAAAGGGCAGTGCTTACAGTGCTTACATTGCCCCTAAGGACACCTCCAAGCGGCCACTCCTCAGATGGCCACTGGAGAAGCTTCTTGGCTCAGGGCGGCACAGTAAGTAGCCCTGCTGTTCAGCGTCTGCATGGAGACGCTGAATAGAGATTCAATGCATCTCTATGAGGAGGTGCTGATTGGCCAAAACTGTTTGGCCCCGCCCCCTTGCTGAATTGTAGCCAATCCAATGCTTTCCCCGGGGGCTAAAAATCTGCAATTCTGATGATGTCACCAGCGCCGGCAGACCCGTGGAGAGCTGAGAATAAGGTGAGTTTTAACCCATTCTGAGGGGGCTAAGGGAGGGGGGGAAGCCACCTAAATTGTGGGGGTTTTTTTGTTTTTTTTTAACTATAGGGCCAGGCATACATGTTAGTGTTCCTAACCCTATAGTGATCCTTTAAGGTTTAACTAATAACTTACAGTCAGTTTGCAGCCAAAATTTATACAAAACAGTTGATTTAAATATTTTTGGGAAAATGGGATGTTGGTTTTTTTACCAATAAATTTGGTAACAACTTACAAACAACTTTACCAGTTAATTGGTTATTGGGAGTTAGTCTGTAAAAATAAGTGTGGATAATACTGACCTGATAAAGAGTTTGCTACGGTTATTAACCAATATGGTGGTTAGCCTATCTGGATTTCATAAAACGTAATTGATGCTGCAGGTCTGTAAAAGAGTGGCTAATTGTGCCCTGGCTTTAAAGCATTGTATGTTGGGTTCTACTGATTTAGTAAATTTCAAATATGTTTCTTATTAGGAAAGATATTAGAACAGAATACCAAACCAGCTATTTCAAATCTAATTAACATGCTCTACAGCCTTAACTATAGTCTATAGTCACTATAGATCAATTTCTCCTGCTATACCTAATACAAGTTCATCTATTCTCTTTTTCACACATTATCTGCTGTAAGTGAGTGGCCAACCATTTATCGTACTGGTTAACTGGTCCCATAAAGTTAATTTCAAGTGAATATCTCCACATATACGCATATTAATTGCAATATGTGCATATACGGACACTTATGTTGGCTAAGTAAACCATATTAACTTGCAAATAGAGAATGGACCTAACATTACTCAGTTAGAAATAATTCCTTTTACAACACTTAGCTCCCTTTTACTCTTTATGATTATGTTCTTTAATGGCCTTCTAAGAGTCTGTTTTGGAAACAAATAGATCCTACAAATTTAACCACTCGGCTGAGAATATTTTTCCATTTTGGATAAATAACAGAGTTACTTTTGCAACTCCCAGTATAGGATTTTATGAGAAGGTTATCTACACACGCCCTCTACTGGTTACAATGCAAACATTATATAAATGGAATTTAGGAGAGTTAGTTATTAAAGCATGTATTCTGCCGTTTTCTTTTTATGGTACATGTATGATATGTCGCATTGATACTAGTTCTATTACACTTTTTTTTTATATACATATTAACACTATATTTTTATTTTCTTTTGTTTATTAGAATTCAAATAGTCTAAAACAGTTGATTGAGTAGCATAAAAGCACCAGGCACAGGGGAGGCATGGTAATATTCTGCTACTCTTAACCCCTTCTAAACCAAGCAGTTTGCAAAAAAAACCCGCCAGAATCCGAATATTCTGGGTGTCCTGGAAAGTGCTGTCTAAATGTATTTTTCATTTCAGTACACATAGATAGCACGTTGATAGGACCAATGTGATAGCGAAAGCTTGATGTGGGTGCCTGAGTATTGAGGTTCTTTAATGCTGCTAAATTCATGTGCCATTATACGGTTATGGAAAACATTCTGTCCCTTCATAAAAAAAAAATTATGTTTGATTTTCTGTTGAGCAAATTATATTTTATTGTGTTTGTTGAGAACTAATATATATATTTTTTTTATTTCTTTTAATTAAACAGGGTCGGTAACCACAACTTTATTTGTCAAAGCATGTGTTTTTCAAGACCAATGTAGTATGAATGGCAGCATTACCTTTAATGAAGGAAGTACTAGGACTGGGATCTCTTGTTGTAATACTGACAATTGTACTCCACCTGTCCCGTCATGTAAGTAAAACAAGCCATTGAAAATGTGCTAAGAGCAAGATTTAAATCTATGTGCCTCTAAACTCAATTGCTGAAGGAACTCCACTACATCTTGTGAAATAATTTTTTTTTTTTTTAAAGTTACAATTCAATCAAAGTCTAGTTATTGCAATGTATATAGTTACAATGGGGTGCTCAATTATCCTTTTGTCATTGGTATATTGAGGGAATAACCCTGGGCAGGGCCGCCATCAGAAATTGTGGGCCCCCTAACACAGCTCAAGGTCTGGGCCCCTGGGTGCCCGCCTCCAAATCCCACCCACAGGAATACACACACACACACACACAGACACAAAAGGACACACACATACTAACAGACACAAATACTGAAACAGACACACACATTCTCTGACACACACTGACATACATACATACATACTCCCATACTGACACACACACACATACAAACAAACAGACATACATACATACATACACATAAATACATACATAATAGCATTCTTACTGATATACTTACATACATACATACAGACATACACACACACACACACACACACACACACACATAGATATATACATACACAGATGCATACAGGCATACACAGACATACATACTGATAGATATATACATGCATACACACACTGACATACACACACACTGACAAACAGACATATACATACTGACATACACACGCATACAGATAGACATATACACACAGACATACTGACATACACACAGACATACATGCATACTGACATACATACAGACAATTATACATACTGACATACACACACATACATACAGACATACTGGCATACACACACACAGACATACATGCATACTGACATACACACACACATATATACTGACAGACATATATACATACTGACATACACACACACATACAGATAGATAGACACATACATACAGACATACACCTCATTTATCAGCCACCCTCCTCTTACCTTCAAATTGCAGGAGGGTGGCTGGGGATGATGGGAACGTATGCCTCTGGGGTGGTGTCCTCTCCTGTCCTTTCCTCTCCTCTCCCTCTCCCCCCGCGCGGAGAAAGCTGGGCGGAAGTGACCGGCCGTCACTTCCTCCCAGCAGCACTTGTGGTGTAGCCGCAATTTATTTTAAAGGGGCCCGGTCACGCAATTACACGCCCGCAGTGCTGATCAGGCCCCTGAAGATATAGGGCCCATCAGGTGGCCTTAAATTCTTGGGCTACCTGATGGGCCCCGATGGGCAGATGTACCTGCAGCAGTTTCGCCGCTCCACGTGGGGCCCGGGGGCCGTTTTGGTTGTCATCCCCTGATGGCGGCCCTGACCCTGGGTGTAAGAATATAAGGTAAAGGGTTGCCCTGACACAAATTTAAAACTTAAAGAAGCTCTAATAATCTAATTGATACTACAAATCAATCAACGTTTAAATTTCTCCTAAGGAAAAGCAACAGTGGATATACTGCTGCAATATACAACTTAACCTAATCGTGCATATCAATAATATGTACACTTTTATTATTTTTATTGGTATTTATATAGCGCCAGCATATTCCATAGTGCTTTACAATATTATCAAAGGGGAAGATTTAACAATAAATAAGACAATTACAAAAACTTACAGGAGCAATAGGTTGAAGAGGATCCTGCTATTACAGTCAATAGGTGGTAGAGATGGAGTATAAAACACAATAGGAAATAGCAATAAAACAAGGTGGAGTGAAGCAGAGCTGGAGGAGAGAGTAGAGGTTACTCTGGGAGGCCATACGTTTTCCTGAAGAGATGGGATTTGAGGTGCTTTTTAAATGATTGAAAACTATGGGAGAGTCTGATCATGGTAGGCAGGCAATTCCAAAGGAAAGGAGCCGCCCGCAAGAAGTCCTGCAAGTGTGAGTTTACCGTACAGGTGTGAGCAGCAGACACAAGAAGGTCATGGACAGAGCGGAAAGACAGAGAAGGGGCATACCTATGGATCAGTGAAGAGATATAAGAGGGGCTATAATTGTTCTGTGCTTTATAGGTGTGCATTAGTACCTTGAATTGACTCCTATAGGATACAGGAAGCCAATGTACGGACTGACAGGGGAGAGGTGAGAGAGGAGCGACAGGAGAGGAAAATCAGTCTAGTGGCAGCATTCATTACATACTGTAGCAAGGCAATACGATATCTGTGAAGACCAATTAGGAGAGTGTTACAATAATCTATGAGAGAGATTACTAGACCATGGGCAAGCTTCTTAGTAGCATCTTGCATTAGAAAGGGGCATATGCGGGCTATGTTTTTAAGGTGAAATTTACAGGATATGGTAACAAACTGGATGTGAGGCTCAAAGGTGAGGCCAGAATCAAGTATTACACCAAAACAGCGCGCTTGCAAGGATGGACTCATGTGGACAGGGGCGGACTGAGCACTCGGGCAAATCGGTCATGGACCGAGGGCCCGAGGCTCTGGGGGGCCCGCCCCTGCTGCAGTGCAGTAATGGCTGAGCTGGGGAGTAAAACAATCTCCCCATCCAGCCTGCACTCAGTAAGGGGCCCACACAGCCTTCCGCGGGCCCCTGCTGCTAAAAATATAATCCCCCTTGCAGGGCACACTGAGGGACAGCTAAGGGGCCTTCCAAAGACCCCACTAGGCTGCCCTCAGTGTGCCTGTCTCACTGAACACAGCCTCACTGAGCTGCCTGTAACTGCTCAGGGCAGCTCCGTGCAGCTTGTTCTGCAGGAAGTGACATCAGCAGTCACAGTGCAGAGTGAGGAGCTCCCCTGAGCAGAGTTACAGGCAGCATGTCAGCATTGTGTGCCCTCCTTCAGAAGAGGACCACCAGAGAGGTAAGGTTTGGGAGGGGGGCTTTATTTTATTTTTTAAATTAAAATGTTTTATTATATAATTTCCCCCACTACTGCCCCATCAGAGCCCATACCCCCCTTACTCCCAGTGCATCCCCTACCTCCCTGCTCCCACTGCATCCCCTACCCCCTCCCACTGCAACCCCTACCCCCCACTGCATCTCCTACCCCCATTGCTCCACTGCATCCCTACCTCCCACTGGCTGTGGGTCCCCAGTACCTCCCTTGCTCTGCACTGTATCCTCCCTCCCACTTTAAATCTCTACCCCACTGCATCTCCTACTCCCTGCATCCCACTCCCACTGCATCCTCACTCCTTTGCTCCCACTGCATCCCTCCCACCTCCCACTGCATCCCTAGCTCCTCCCACTGCATCCCTACCCCTGCTCCCAGTGCATCCTCCCACTACATATCCTACCTCCCACTGTATCCCTGCCTCTACTGTGAATCTCGCTCTCACTGCACCCCTACCTCTGCCTCCCACTGTGACGCTTCTACGCTTCCCAGTGTATCCCACCCCTGCTCCCAGTGTATCTCCGTACTCCCTTGCTCCCAGTGCATCCTTCCTGCACACCCTGCTCCCACTGCATCCCTACTCCCCACTGCATCCCTACCCCTGCTCCCTAGTGCATCCTCTACCTCCTGCTCCTAGTGTATCCCTACCTCTGCTCCTCAGTGCATCCTACTCCCTCTCTGCTTCCCACCGTGATCCCTATCCCTCATTGCATCCCCTGCCTCTGCTCCACTGCATCCCTGCTCCTAGTGGTTCCCTGCCTCTGCCTCCCAGTGTATCCCCGCCTCTGCTCCTGTGCACCCCACCGCTTCCACCAGATCCCCTATCCTCTGCTTCCACCGCATCCCTATCCCCATTGGCCCTCATCCCCATTGCATCCCCTACCCCTTGCTCCTAGTGCATCCTCTGCTCCTAGTGCATCTCTGCTCCCAGTGTATCCTGCCCCAGTGTATCCTCTAATTTCTGCTCCCAGTGCATCCCCACTTCTGTTCCTACCATCTCCCACTTCTGTTTCCTACTCGTTGCAGCTCTCAATTTCCTCTGTATCCTATACCCCTGCTTCCCTGTATTCCATACCCCTGCAGCTCCCTACTCCCTGCCCTCTGTGGCTCCCTACCTCTGCTCCCACTGCAGCCCCAACCTCTGCTCCTACCTCGCAGCCCCAACCCCCCTGCTCCCACTGCAGCCCCAACCCCCCTGCTCCCACTGCAGCCCACACCCCCTACAGCCCCTACCCCCTACAGCTCCTATCTCCCTGCTCCCTCTGCAGCCCCTACCTCCCTGCTCCCACTGCAGCTTTTACCTGCTGCTCCCACTGCAGCTCCTACCCCCTGCACTGTGCGCAATAGTAGGGTTTTGCTTTTGGTAGTGGCTAGTGGGCTACCCAACTGCTCCCACTGCATCTCCTATTACCCTTTGCACCCACTACAGTCTGTCCCTCCTCTGCACCTACTACAGCCTCTAATCCACCCTATTCCCCCGTATCCTCTACAGTCCCTCCCCTGCAGCCCCTTCCACTCGCACCCTTTACAGCCCCTTCCTTTCGGCACCCTCTGCAGTCCCTACCCCTTTGCACGCACAAACATAAAGGGACACTATAGTTACCAGAACAACTACAGCTTAATTTATATTATACAGCTTAATGTATAGTAACAGCTTAATGTTTATTATATAGCTTAATGTAGTTGTTCTGGTGAGGATAGTATACTACTGCAGGGTTTTTGCTGTAAAGACTGCCTTTTCAGAGAAAATGCAGTGTTTACATTGCTTCCTAGGAACACCTAGGCGCTTCCTGTGTCAGTATTGCAAAATGTGCAGCACTGACATTCAGCATCTCCATGATCTGCATGTCGACGCTGAACGCTTGTCATAGAGAAGCACTGATTCAATGCATCTCTATGATGGTGATTGGCACAGCGTTTTGCTGTGCGTGCACAATAGCCTTCTAGTGCTTTCCTATGGTAGAGCATTGGGTTGGCTGAGATCATCTAAATTGATGAACTCTGCCAAGGAGTTTGGTCGGTGCTGGGAAACAGGTGAGTAAATCGCATTTTTAAGGGGGGAATACACATTTGTATTCCTGACACTATAGTGTTCCTTTAAAGGGACACTCCAGGCACCCAGACCACTTCTGCCCATTGGAGTGGTCTGGGTGCCAACTCCCACTACCCTTAACCCTGCAAGTGTAGTCATTGCAGTTTTTATAAACTGCAATAATTACCTTGCAGGGTTAACTCTTCCTCTAGTGGCTGTATACTAGACAGCCACCAGAGGGCACTTCCTGGTCTATAGCACAGGATTTCTGTGCTATAGTGTCGCTGGACGTCCTCACGCTGTGTGAGGACCTCCAGCGTCGCTAAAATTCCCATAGGAAAGCATTGAAAAGCATTTTCAATGCTTTCCTATGCAGAGGTCTAATGCGCCTGCGCGGCATTGCCGCGCATGCGTATTAGGTCTCCCCCGACGGCTGACGTGACTGAAGGGGTTTTCACCCCTTCAGCAACCGGGGATGGAAGGTGGGAGGGAGAGGGGACCTGCAGTGCCAGGAAAACGGATTGTTTTCCTGGCACTGGAGAGTCCCTTTAAGGTGGCTCGTAACATTTAACACTTGGTTTCACAAATACTCCCTTTTACATACTGCCATGCTACACAAACACACACAAAAAATACTACCCTATTCACAAAACCAAAAACATGTATTCAAATATACTAATAATCCACATATCCTGACACTACACACAAAGACATACATATATTCACTTACACTAGCGCTCACAGTGAATATACACACAGAAACATGCATTCACTTTACATGTACATACAATCAAATATACGGTACACCTATACCAGCATATATATCGGTCTGCTGGGGGCCCAGGTGCTAATTTTGCCCGGGGGCCCAGGCCACTGTCAGTCCGTCCCTGCATGTGGATACCACTAACTTGAAGGGAGAGCGAGAGAGGCGGATCAATAATAGTTGGAGGAAAGACAAGAAGTTCAGTTTTAGAGAGATTGAGTTTCAGAAAGCGGGAGGGCAGGAAAGGCAAGCAGTGACACGTTGCAGAATGGCAGGGGAAAGGTCCAGGGAGCAGATATATATCTGAGCAAACTCGTTAGAAATGAGTGTATCCAACATTGGGGGCAACATGGCCAGCTGCCAAAAAGCTGCTCTGATTAATAGAAGCAGAATCTGTACATACTTTCCTTTTTTCACTATTTTTTTAACTTTTTCGTTTTGTTCACTGTATTAATTTATGTAAATAAACATTTGTTAAAAACACTTCTTTTAATATCAGAGTGAGTAAATGTTACGTTTTAAATTTGTGTCAGGGCAACCCTTCTTTACCTTATAATCTAGTTAGTGCAGCCTCCAACTGCTGATTTTTGTCATTTTTTTTTATCAAATGGTTACTCGAGCCTCTACGACCACTTTGCTGTAGGAAGTATACATGAAACGTTGCACATATAGAGATATCTGTAATGGTGTTCCGGGAGCTGGTTGCACCCCGGCATGCATGACTTAGGCCACCAGAACTCAAAAATTAGGTCAGACATTAGCGCTCATTGTATGCTGACAAACATCAGCTTTTACCCTTGCATGCAGCATTCTAAGTGTTCCTGCAAGAGCAAGTTTGTATGTCCCCACACCCTGCCATCTCTGCTTCCCTATATTCAGATTTGTTTATTTTTAACTCTTTTTTTAATTAAAAAAACCGTGTCCACCCCACACTGCCTACTTTCTAGCCTCAGCTCAGAGAGCATGGATTTGCTCTGAGCCTGTAGATTGGTCCAATGACGTACTTCAGAAGGGACATGTTGTTATGACGGACAGGGCATGGAAGAACCTCGTCAGGCACTGGATTCCCAGTAAGTTTATTCTTATTTTAAATGTTTTTATAAATAAAAAATGAGATGGACTGGACGGGGCCTGACCATCATGGCGGAGAGTCGTGTACTCCACGAGCTCCCACAAAATCCTGACAAAAAAGTTAAAATCGGCTCACCCAAGTGCAACAAACAGCATTGCCAGACACCCACTTGCCACCCCCGATGTAGGGCACACTAGTGATCTTAAGCAACTTGATTGGGGCCAACTGAAAACACAACCGACAATGCGGCCTGGTATGCATCAGGCGAGGGAGGTGGCCGCTCCCCTGTCCTGGAGGCACCCTGAAGCTGCTCACAGCACACTGCACGAACACCAGGCAAAGACCAACTCCGCGCTCCCAGACAATACTGTCAGAAGAGTCACACATCGCAGCGACACCCACAGCCGCGGAGAGGACTCTGTGGACCTAGACCGGTTCGCGGACCATGCTACCCGACGGCAGACAGGGAGTGGAGGTGCGGAGAACTTCGGAGCCCAGGGCACACAGACAAGCAGAAGGGTGCACTGACAATACTCACCTCGCCTAAGAACAGAGTGACACTAGTCCGCGGGTGGAGATGACTTGGCACAGGGCCCAAAATGGCGGCAACACCAGGTCAGTCAACTCATGACCCACAACCACTACACGGGGCGCCTCCTGAGCACACAACGCAACCAAGACCCACAAAGGCCCCCGAACGGGACTGTGGTATACCTCTTGCGGGGGTTTACTGACGGGACTCTTGAAACCACAGATGAGTCAACCACCCCTTGCCTCATATAGTCTCTATCTGCAAATATTGAAAATGTATTGTTTCTCCATGACATTTGGTGTTACTTTTATACCCTTATGCTCTTGAGTTATGCTTTACAATGAACTGTTTTGACCACTTCTTGCTAGCGATGAGGACACACCTCACTAAAGCCACCAAGACCGGGGCCCTCCCTACCCCTTAGCTATGCCCATGACTGTTTACTGTAACAGGCTTTTCTGTGGCAATCCAAGAGCTGCGCTGGTACCTGAGAACATAGCAATTCTCAATACATCTTAGTTTCTCTCCTCATAGTGGTGCAGCATGCTATTTCTGTTCATTTTATATCGCCACCCGCCAGATTGGCAAACCTACTAGCACTACTGATACTCTCATGACATAATGTTCATAACCTGTGTATGTTAGAAATTTACTAGTACTGTTAACAGAGAGCCTGTTACCTAATAACCTTTTCATAGGATCCAGTGGCAGCAAATCATTATAGTTTTCTAAGATGATCCAGCATGTTTAACTATTTTATTTTTATTTATTTTTTCTTACAAGGCTTAGCATACACTTAATGTCTATCTGTGAAATACGCTTCCGTACCTAACTCACCTTAATGGATCAGCATACACCTTCTCGGATAATGTTACAGTTAATCTAATCTAGGTTAATATTGCCTCTGGCTGAAACTACATTATTTAATATTATAAAATGTGCACTGTTCAAGTATGCCATACAATTGTTTCCACACGTTGACTAACTTACAATATGTTTAGCCTGTACCTCTTACTTGCAACTAACAAAAATAAGAAAAATGTACATGCAATCTTGATTACTCCAATGTTGTTATTGTTGAAAATTAACGTGAGGAATGCCGTTGGGGTACCTTGCGAATGTTGTTACATCTCTCACGAAAAAAAAAAAAAATTAGATGGACTGAGATAATAGTGCATTATGAAATAAATTAGAGCTCACTTCCTTATAACTTGCTACACCAGGGGCTATTCAATTAAGGTCCCCATCTGGGGGAGTCACCTTTTTCCAAAGTCTGAGCTTTCTCCTAAATTAAAATAAATGCCCCTCTCTATATTATATTGATACTTAAGTTGGGGGAGCATCTGGGGCCAGTTAAGGACAGTTTGTTGTAACCAATGTCTTGATAGAACTACTTTTGTGGCCAATAGTAGTTGTATTATTAGATATATTTTTGGTAATGGAAATCTGGATCAATTGAAATGAAACAGAGCTGTCATAAATTTGGGATCCAAGTTTTCCAGAAAATGTATTTTATGGCCATAGTTCATAAAGGTCTGATCAATACAAAGTCCCACCAGATATGTTTAGAACTACCCACTTCATGGTAACATCTCCAATATAACTTATTAGAATTAATTTTATTTTAAATATTTAGAGCCAGGTACCATTGATGCAGTATCGTAGAGTTCGATGATATTTAGATAGTGAATTGATTTTTTTCACCTCTGGATGGATTTAAACCACATATCAGGCTGTGTAATATATCCAATTTCCTGGTTCCAATTTTTACAGGCTCTAGGTTTAAGTTCAACCTCCTCAAGATTCAGAATATGATAGCAATATGCTTTGGATCAAAATGTAATTTAATTTTTAAATAAATCCTTTATTTTTTTAATTTAATAAAATGTTTTTATCTATTATCAAATGGGAAACCAGATCATTTTTTACTCTTACGTAATTAAAGATCTCATTTAGAGGAAGGATGATGGACTGCTGTAATTGCGGGAAATATAATTATTTTAAACGTGGGGATTCAATTTTTGCAAGGATGCTATTTCCAGCCCTATTTTCTAGCCAAATAATGGTAGCAAGGTCTTGTTTATTCCAAATAGATACTTTAATTTTAAACCAGGGATATTCTCTTTTAAGTTTCCATTGTTTCCATTGTGGTATAGTTCAGTGAACCATTCTGAAAATGTATGACCACCTTGGTAGGACATACGATTTGATTATAATAATTCTACCGAGCCAAGAGATACCTGTATGCTTCCAGGGATTTAATAATGTATAGCTTGCCTCTTTATGTAAGATGTCAAAGTTTTCATTCACTATGTCATTCATTTTTGAAGAGAAATTGATTCCAAAATAAGTAAAACCTTGCAGGGTCCACATAGAGGGGTATTTAGCTGACAAGTACAAGATCATGTTGTATGTATTCTAGATTAATTGGCATGATTTAAGATTTGTTTGTATTTATTTAAAATTTAAAAACAGACTGTAGTTTCTTATCTCTAGGATTAATGCCCCCAGTGAAGACTCTGGCTCTGTGAAGGTTAGAATTATATCGTCCGCGTACATGATCAGTATATATTGAAGGGGTGCAAGGGGATATCCCTGCCTAGTTCCATATTTATTGTAAACCAGTTTGTGGAGATGGGAAAAAATATATTTTAAATCCATTTTCTAAAATATGCAAAAACATGTTAAAAGAGTTGAATAGAATATATATTATATTTCATGGTTTTATCTTTTTCATATAAAGTACCACAACTCAGTACTCAGCAAAATGGACTGACATGTCGATCATGTATTTCTGGAACCTCGAACTGGTGTTATACTTCGGATACCATTCAATGTACCGGCAATGAGGATATGTGTCTTCTGCAAGCTACAACAATTGCAGGTAAAACAAATACAATGGGAATTTTGGTTGCTTCTCAGCTTTGTATAAGTTGATACTTTAATTCATCCAAAATCCAGCCTTTATCCCACGCACAGGTAAAACAAATAAGTTAGCATTTATAAATCCAATGCAATGATAAATGCAATTCTAAATTTAGCATTTATCAGCAAATTAGTGGCTGTTGATGTAACTGTAACAATGTATACACAAACACAATTCTACGTTTTCCTCAAACCTTCACATTCCACTTTTACTGTTATCAGACAGGTAAAAAGAGGCTCTGTATCTTACATTAAAGAAAAAATATAGCGTTAGGGATAGACACATGTATTCCTAAGACTATAGAGTTTTAGTACCTATTTAGTTATCTGGCTCTGCTTAATTGAATTATATAAATTAGTTTTACTTAGCTTGTTTCCAGCACTGAGACTCAGTCCTCACAGCTGTCCACCCCACCATCCATGTCATCTTCTTTCCTCTTTGTCCTCTTGCCCAATACATTGCTTCTTATAGCGAAGCAATGCAGACAAGAAGCGAATGTCACACTCCCACAATCAAATGATTCTCACAGAGAATCATCAGAGGATGTTAGATGTCCTCATTCAAAGTGTGAAGATGCCAAATGTCACAATACTGAGTCTGACTCAGTTGTGCATCTGGAAGTTCGCTCTAGTGGATATCAGGAAAATAGCTACTAGAGGTGTTTAAAACTGCAATGTTTAACATTGAGGGAGAGATTTAGCACTGTGTGATCCTCCTTCCAAAGAGGAGTTATCATCACTCTAATAGGACCATCAAAAACCTAGAAAATTCAGCAAGACAAAGCACTTGAGAGGGACACAAACATTTCCCCCCCAAAAAAAGAAATCAATAATTCACTAAAGTCCAAATGGCCCTCTACCAAATAGGGAAAAGCTACTTGCTGCTGTACGGGGCAACTCATTTAATGCAATTTAACAATGTCTGGATCTTACAATTCAGGCCTTGAACAGACTTAATTTGGTTCTTATTTCAGCCAGACTGCTGGATATCTGAACCAAATGCTGCAAATCTGCGCTCAAAGGCTTGAAACCCAAACTATTTGTCCATGGGCAGTGCTAGCAGTCAGCAGAGAAATAGCTAAAAAAAAAAAAAAAACTTGACACTGCAAGGGCCTATCCTGTGGTAGTTGATCAGTACTGGCTACCCATCTGCCTTCTGTGTAGGAGGCAAGTCTGACTCCTGTTGGAGCTGTGGGGTAGACCACTAGCGATCAGACTTGCCTCCTACACAAAATAAAAGCTTTTGGCACCTGAACTACTCCTGACATTTAATCCAAGTAAAGTAGGCAGAAGCTCCTGGTATGCAGACTGGAACAGAGAAAAAGGTTAAAGAACAGTTCATTTTTTTTAAAGTGTAAGAAGACCCTACTATATTGAAGACTTCATTCCACACCTGATTAAGAATGATATTCCCTTACTTTTTGTGAGTTTTCCTCATTACTATTGCGGGTCTTTACTTCAGTATACATTGATAAGACTATGTTCAGTTTGTATCTCTTATAGACACCACAGAGTACTCTCTCACAAAACAAGGTTGTATTATTATTCCACTGTGAATACCTTGGGAATTTACACTCTGATCCTTTGCATTTTCATGCCTCACTATTTTTCGGTGTTCCAGAGGGCACACTATTTAGTAGGTTTGCTATACATCTGCTTTCAGTGGTTATTTTCTTGTATGTTATAGCACCCCAGTTCTGACTTGATAAATTTACATAATAATTTATATTCTATTTAGATTGAACATTCTATTGTCTAGTAATTTACATTTGTCTCTACAATACAGAATGGTTTATTACACAAAGTATGTTTTTCTCTACAGGACTCAAAACTGCAATTCGTGGTTGTGCCACAAAAAGTATATGTGATCTTGGGAGCCAGACTGTGACCGATACTGTCAAGATTACCTGCACAAGTGGAACTATTGGGCTGCACTCCAACATGTTCCTTTCTGCTATCATTTCTTTTGTGCTGTTAAAATGCTACTTTTAGAATATGTGTGTAGGACATTATCAATAGCAGAAATGCTTGTAAATATGAATACCTCCATACTGATGATGTAGATTAATTTAGAAATAAACAAAAATGTTTAAAAGTCTATCTGTTCCTGTCCAAATCTGAGATGAATAAATTGCGTATACGCAGAAGTAAGTTCACACTGACACATGCAGTTCAGGTTAAAAACACTTCAGGAAATTTATTAGCATCTAGTTAAAAAGTGGGCACGCAGGCCTTTTTATATGCAAAATGACATCATCATTGAATATCAGATAATAACAAATAAACATCATTAATTGGGTTAAATGTTAAGTGGCTATGTCAGTGTCCACCCATTAATATTATTAATTGGCTCAGAGATTTGAGTGACTAGTGAGGCACCCTCCCATCATGGGATGTCGTCGCCATTGCTCTTTAGCACGAGGCTTACTCGGTGGAAAGGGGGGCTTGGGCATCATTTTACGTAGTTAGTGATGTCAGTCTCGTGGTCTGGTCCAAGGTTCTTTTATGAATAGAACATTTCATTTAGTCGCTGTTCTCCTGGCCTTGGATTATACTATGTTGCAAGTCAACGGAGATCCGCTAACTCCGGGGCTAGTTATGTCCTTAGAGAGAGAAAATACAATCTCTTATTCATTATACTGAATACTGTCAGGAAATTCTGTCATGTAAGGTGAACAAAATGGAGAATTCTGTCATAGTGTGAGATTAAAATGGAGTTAGTACAATAATTCAATACAGGTTCTAATAAAGATTTTAATAATTCTACATCACTGATGATGGTTGGTGATGATTGTAGATGATCACCAGAAGAATGTTTGGATTATTTTTTATTCCAGAGTAAAGAATGAAAGCATTTATCACAGAGTTTCAAAGCTAGTGCTTAATACTATTATTGCATTTTTGTAACTGTTCAACGTTGTACATTTAGGCTCGTTATTTACTTAATTATGCCATTTTTTATTTCTATAGCTGTTATGGCTAAATGTCTGTCTGTGGGGAATATTTCAGCTGCAGCTATGTACGGGTCAATCAGCACAAACCACCCACAGGCCTGGAGAATTGACTCAGATAACAACCCCACTGTGAGGTTTCAATAAATATGGATAATATTTCTAAGCAATTATGAGAAGTAAACATCAAAACAGAATGTTTACTTAAAATGGTGGATTGATTATATTATTTTATCCTATCAATAGCTGTCCCCTTTCATTCACGTCACTAATCACCAGACTTGTGCATGGTAAAACAATTTGGTTAGTACAAATTAATTCGTCAAAAATTTGGTTCTGACAAATGTGAACCTTGCCATCATTTTGGGGAAAAAATGTTTGGATCAAGTGGAGGTGAAGCTCAAGAGGGAAAGACCTACGCCTATCCTCTGCCCGGATCCCCACCTCTGATGCTCGCCTTCAAGACTTCTCCAGGACTGCACCTATTCTGTGGAACTCCCTTCCCTCCTCAATCAGACTTTCACCCAGCCTCCACTCCTTCAAAAAAATCTTTGAAAACTCACTTTATTAAAGCGTATCAATTAAACTGTCAGCAGGTTTCTCATCCCTCACCCCATGACTCCTTTCCTGCAACTGTCAAAAATGACCCACCAAGCACTCAATAAACCCTTCTGTAACAAACTATTTAATTCCCCTACTTTAACCCTTTGTGTCACTATACCCCACTCCCTCTAGCATGTAAGCTCATCGAGCAGGGTCCTCAACCCCCTCTGTTCCTGTACGTCAGTGGTCTGATCTCAATTATGTGTCTGTTAGTCCACCCATTGTACAGCGCTACGGAATTTGTTGGCGCTATATAAATAATAAAATAATAATAATAATAATGAGTAGTAAAAATGTTTTATATACTTTTTTATATTTATTAAATAGCTATGGGCTCTTGCAGAAATGACAGCCCCCCCTCCACCACCCCACTATCCCCTTGTTGCTTCATGTAGTTTCACAGATGCTCTTTTTGTTATCAAACTGGCTTCACACATAAGTAAAATGGTTATACTATAAATGCCGTATTGTCTTGCAACACCAGGTCAAGTGATTGACCACAGTTTACCCCTAAGTTGACTGCAGTTAAAGCGGCACTGTCATGCCGAACTTACCTTTCCTCAATCTCCTCCTCTTCTCCCCCTCTCTCAGGATCTGTTATTCTTTTCTTCCTGTCTTCTTTAGTTTTCTTTAAAATCATAAGACAAAGTAAGGACTCTTTGCCTTATGGAGGATTCCTCCGCTTGACCAGCTCTGACCAGCGGAGGAGCAAAGTGTGCTTCATTTCCGCTGGTCAGAGCAATTTTCCCATGATCCCTAGCTTTCCTCAGTGTTCCCACAATGCTTCCTGTCACTTTACACTAAACTGCCGAATTGCGTTCTAACTGAATGACAACAGTCTGTTCGTTTCTTTTAGAACGCAATTCGGCACTTTATTCGGATCAGAATTTCATTCTAATGAATGAAACTC